GATTCGATTTTATTCAAAATCTGTATCTGGAGATTCTCGGGGTCGGAGAGTATTATTACCCTTTCAGAATTGGAATATTCGCGATGGCGGCTCCAACATGGCGGACGAGTTCTGTAATTATGATCCGTTTCTATTCAAAATTTTTATCAGGGGGTTTTCGGGTTGGTGATTCTGATTATCCTGTCACAATTGGAAACTTCAAAATGACGGCTCCAATAAGGCGAACGAGTTTTGTAATAATGATTCGATTCTATACAAAATTGTTATCTCAGGGTGTTTGGGGTCGGAGATTATGATTATTCTATCAAAATTGGGAATTTTAAGATGGCGGCTCCAATATGGCGGACGAGTTTCGTGATATGATCATATTCTATTTAAAATTGGTATCTGGCGGTTTTCAGGTCGGAGATTATGATTATCCTGTCAAAATTGAAGAATTCAAGATGGCGGCTTCAATATGGCGGACATGTTCTGTAACTTCGATCCGATTCTATTCAAAATTGGTATCTATGAGTTTTCGAGTTCGGAGATCATGATAATCTTGTCAGAATTGAAAAAATCAATATGGCGGATCCAATATGGCGCACGAGTTTCGTTATTATGATACGATTCTATTCAAAATCTTCATCTGGCAGTTTTCTGGGTTGGGGATCATGATTCTCCTGTCGGAATTGGAAAATTCAAGATGGTGGCACCAATATAGCGGACGAGTTTTTTGTTCATGGTTTTATTCGGTTCAAAGTGATATGCGGGGGTTTCCAGGGTCGTAAATCATAAACATCCTGTCACAATTGGAGATTCAAGATGGCGGCTCCAATATGACGGACGAGTTTCGTATTCATGATTTAATTCTATTCAAAATTGGTATCTGAAGGTTTTCGGGGTCGGATATTATGATTATTCTGTCGAAATTGGAAAATTCAAAATAGCGGATCAATATGGCGGACGAGTTTTGTAATTATGATCCGATTTCATTCAAAATTGGTATCTGAGGGTTTTCGGGTTCGGAGATCATGAATATCCTGACAGAATTGGAGAATTCAAAATGTCGGTTCCAATATGGCGAACGAGTTTTTGTAATTATGATTCGATTTTATTCAAAATCTGTATCTGGAGACTCTCGGGGTCGGAGAGTATCATTACCCTTTCAGAATTGGAATATTCGCGATGGCGGCTCCAACATGGCGGACGAGTTCTGTAATTATGATCCGTTTCTATTCAAAATTTTTATCAGGGGGTTTTCGGGTTGGTGATTTTGATTATCCTGTCACAATTGGAAACTTCAAAATGACGGCTTCAATAAGGCGAACGAGTTTTGTAATAATGATTCGATTCTATACAAAATTGTTATCTCAGGGTGTTTGGGGTCGGAGATTATGATTATTCTATCAAAATTGGGAATTTTAAGATGGCGGCTCCAATATGGCGGACGAGTTTTGAAATTATGATCCGATTCTATTGAAAATTAGTATCTGGGGTTTTTTTGGGTCTGAGATTATGATTATTCTGTCAAAATTTGAGAATTTAGAATGGCAGCTTCAATTTGACGGACGGGTTTTGTAATTGTGATCCACTTCTATTCAAAATCAATATCTGGGAGATTTCTGGGTCGAAGATGATGATTCTTTTGTCAAGAATGGAAAATCAAAGATGGCGGACAAGTTTGGTAATTTTCATCCGATTTGATTCAAAATTGGTATCTGGGGATTTTCGGGGTCGAAGATTATGATTTTCTCTGTCAAAATTGAAAAAATAAAAATGGCGGCTCCTTTATGACGCACGAGTTCTGTAATTATTATATTCTATTCAAAATTGGTATCTGGGAATTTTCGTGATCGGAGATTTCGATTTTCTTGTTAAATTCTAGAATTCAAGATGGTGGCTTCAATATTGCGGACAAGTTTTGTGTTTATGGAGAGATTTGATTCGAAATTAGAATCTGGAGGTTGTCAGGTTCGGAGATTATGATTTCCATGTCAAAATCGAAAAATTCAAGATGGCGGCATCAGAATAGCGTACAGGTTTTGAGAATATGGACCGATTCTATTCAAAATTTGTATTGAAGATCTATATCAGAATATAACGAGACGACAGACTGAAAAACTTAAAAACGAAATATTCTGAAAAAAAAAACTTTCTATAAACCACGCTCATATTCAGATGCACAGAAAAAAGGAAATTGATTATTTCGGTTATACGGAACTGAAGAGTATTAGTGATAGCGTGGGACGACAAGTAGCAATATATCTAGCGATGATTGAGCGCTCTACGCATTATCCATATCCAGGAAAAAAATATTCCACCTCTTTTAGTGCAATCGAATATATGTGTGGCTTTTTAAACGTTTGTTTCGTGTAATATATTTTCATCCATAATCAACAACTTTTAACTAGAAGAGTACCAAGTTCACGTCAACCAGTTCGACAATTTCGAATTCGAATATTTCATGTACCTAATCGATATCTCTGGATGAAAATCCATTTGGAGAGATCTAGGACAGGATCTTATCAGATAATATCAATTTCTTCCCAGAACCGCATCACTCTACCAAAATTTCTGAATATGATTGATCTTCATCAATCGAATAAGTTCACGTCATTCGATTCGACAGTTCCCCAAATTTGAAATATTCATCTCTATCGGATCGAAAGATCGTTGATGAGTCAATTCAGACATGCATTGAAATCAATTTCTGAAATGTTTTTGAAGCCGAATTTGCTGAAATAGTTCTTCGATCAACACGAAGTTAATATCAACTTGTGATTTCGAATGAAACTATTTATATTTTGTATTATATTCAAATCACACTATTCGTGGTAAAATCCACACAATATTTATCGTATTCTACTTTTCAAACCCTTTCATTTGATACCCATGTCGATGGGGTTGTGATGAAGAAGGTGAGTCGCCATCTTGGAGCGTCCGTCATATTGTATTCAGGAAAACATCACTAGGATTCTCACATTCCACTCGTCGAACCCTTCAATTTGATACCCATGTCGATGAGGTTGTTAAAAAAGTTACTCCGCCATCTTGGGGCGTCCGCCATATGGGATTCTAACTATACAGGGTGCCCGTTTTTCGAGCTCCACCATGGGGATCTCAGTTATTATAAGAGATACGAAGTTGGTTGAATTAGGGCAAAGTTGTGCAATTTGATGCTGATCAAAATGCTGCTCCGAAAGTTTGGAAATTCCGAATACTTCCGAAGATATTTGAAAAAAAAACAGAATATCCGCGATTTCGTTTTTATTTTTTTCCGACTTTATTTGAAGTGATAGTACAAAATGAGTGACATATTAGCATTGCCACTTTTTCTGCTCTATCCAATAGCATTGATAGATTCGTGATCCGACGTTTCGTCTTCGAGAAGCCATCATCAACTCTGTATTTTCAAATGGTCGAAAAAAAATTTTTGTCCCCAAAGAACTCTAATTCCGATTCTGAATCCAACGACATATAATACTTTACAATTATCCGACGTTTCAAACCAAAAAATCATCATCAGTATTATTTGATGATGGTTACGAGGAAACGATACGTCGGATCAAAAATCTGATGAAAGCAACTTGTAGAGAAGGAAAAATGGCTATGGAAATGTCAAATTCATTTTGGTCTATCTCTTTTAGTAAAATCAGAAATCTTTTCTTGGGATTAGAAACTTCGAGAATCACTTTTTATTGAAAACTGAAATAGAGATAGACCAACAAGTTGAATTCATCTTGGTCTCTCTATTTTAGTTTTCAACAAAAAGCGATTCGCGAAGTTTCTAATCCAATGAAATGATTTCTTTCTGATTTTACTAAAAGATATAGACCAAAATGAATTTGACATTTTCATAGCCGTTTTTCCTTCGCTACAAGTTGTCGTCATAACCATCATTAAATATAACTGATTTTTTGGTTCGAAACGTCGGATCATTTTGAAGTATTATATGTCGTTGGATTCAGAATCGGAATTAGAGTTCTTTAAGAACAAACATTTTCTTTTCGACCATTTGAAAATACAAAGTTGATGATGGCTCCTCGAAGACGAAACTTTGGATTATGAATCTATTAATGCCATTGGATAGAGCAGACAAAGTGGCAATGCTAATATGTCACTCATTTTGTACTATCACTCCGAATAAAGTCAGAAAAAAATAAAAACGAAATCGCGGATATTCGGTTTTTTCCAAATATCTTCGGAAGTATTCGAAATTTCGAATTTTTTGAATCGGCATTTTGATCAGCATCAAATTGCGCAACTTTGCCTTGATTCAACCATGCAACCTCGTATCTCTTATAATAACTGAGATCGCCATGGTGGAGCTCGAAAAACGGGCACCCTGTATATATATATACATCCATTGAATGATCAGAAAGAAAGCTTCATGTAGAATTGCAGCTCTATTGAGATACAGTGTTGCCAAATGTATGGTCGCAGCATCCATCAGACGATGAAAAATTAATATACATAATGTATATTTGATAGCGCCTCTGACGGCATTTGTGCCAAGTAAAAATATTCGATTCTCTTATACTTTTATTAATGCTGCGTCCGATTTTGATACCAAAAAATCATCATATCTCCCAAACGGCTAACAATAGAGCAACCATTTAAAGAGAATGGATTCCGCGTCCCATGATGGTATTAATGAGGGACTCAGTACAACAATTCAATGCATTGGCGGGAAAATAACATGGATTGTAATCTTGCGTCCGATATACGGTCGCACTATCGCGATGGACGCAGGATTAAATGAAAATTGTCAATACATGGACGCAACATTGATAAGAGGATATATATATATATATATATATATATGTACTGTGAAGGCCGAAATTATTCGCTAATAATATATTTAATGCCAAAACTGAACTATAATAGGGTTATAGTTCAGTGAAGGATACAGGCTTGAAAGGATCGTTCTGATTGGTCCAAAAATGCATTCATACCGAAAGTCATGGTTATTTGAATTCTTGCATTTCATGTCGCCAACTCCAATCCAACTCGATAATCGCCATTTTCTCGTTGTGAGAATCGTATCGTATTCATATCGTATAACGAATTCATGTTTGTTTGGGCTTGGTTTAACCAAGTTTTATGTTATTTACACACATAACTCTACTGCTAGTTCGTCGAATTGATAATTGATCAAACATTTTCATTTGTATCAATTCATCAACATTCATTTCGTGATAGTACCAGCTAATAGTTCCCGCTTGAGATTCCCTCCCAGACTCCAGCAGACCAGTGTCAACATATTAAATTATCTGTGGGACAACTCTGCAATAAGGTAAGTCTGATAATTATTGTTGTTTCCTCTGTTGTAGTTCATTGAAATAAAACATGGAACGGTCCAAAGGTATTCATAAATATTACATGCGTGCTAAAAGAATCTGTCTAGATGAAAGTCTTGATGTGTCTACATTACAAACTGATCAAGTGGTCCAAGCAGAGGAAATTGAACAACATCAACAACAATGTTCTGAATTTGAAACTGCTAGGCCTGTCAGTAATGTAGACATATTCAATACCTCAGCTTCAAGCTCAGCTTCTGATGATAGTGAAGGTGACATCTTCAATGAGACCCCCTTAGACATTCCCCCTGCTGATGTCCCAGGTAACAAGCTGGCGTCATTTGTACGTCAATATATGGTCATTTATGGTCATTGACGTCATATGACCTCAAAATGACGTCATTTTGACGTACTTAATATGACGTTATATAGACGTCCTTGATATGTCGTCAATATGACGTCATTTGATGGTCATTTTCATGACTACTTATGACCATTATTTATTGAGTCATCTTCATCAAGGAAAATTCATAATCAAAAAGTTTGCCATCTCTGTTATATGAAAACGTTAGTAGTTATGTTATATAACATATATTACTATGTCACTCATCATAAATTATGCTTTATAATAATTTGTCCTCTAATCTGTGCGAGATGTTTGTTTTTGATGGTCTCTGACATAATTGTTAATTATATACCTTCTGTGCAAAGTATTCTCCTTATAGCTATTAAAAATATAAGACCGAATTTCACGTCATAAAAAGCTTATAACGTTGTTATTCCGGAATGCGAATTCAAATCAGAGCGGGAGAGTGCGTAGAGAACTGTACTTGATTGGTCGGCACGGACCTTGCGCAGACATGCGAACGTCGACTGCCAAGCCGTTCATTTTCGCTTCGCCGTTGCGGCTGCGGCCATGATGACCATAACAACAAAATAACAATACATAGAAGGCCATCATTATCATGTTATTCGGCTATCTATGTGGTGTGGTGTGGTGGTCATATTTATTCATATTCATGTATCAAGTAGTAAAATTAGAGGATGGCAGCAAAGTCATTATTTTAGACAAGTGGTGTATGCCGAAAAAGCAGAATGTGAATTGGACGCCATTGATGGAATACCATAGGGCTCTGAGAAATCTCTCCAGTGCATCATCCGAATGGGATAAGTTCCCAATAAAAAGAACATTATATGAAACTGGTAATTAATAATTATAGTACCTACCTATAATATTATTTTGTATTTAATGTGGTAAAGGAACATCAATATAATCATACAAAAAAATCTTATCTTTTCTGATAATATTGATACTACCCTAATAGGTAGGTACAACAGTGTTTTTTTTTTACCTACAGAAAATTTCAAAATAGCACAAAATAAACTGAAACATGTAGAAGATTTCAGTGATATGAATAATCGTAAAGATCACGTCATTTTGACGCCATTAGGATGTCGTCATTTTGACGTCATTAGGATGACGTCATTTTGACGACATGAAAATGATGTCATTCGTCTTTGACTTAGAAGGTCATATAAACGTCATTATGACGTCATTTTGGAAGTCATCCTGACGTCAGGCCTGACGTGATAATGACGTACAAATGACGTCAGCTTGTTACCTGGGGTGCCCCTTATTGATAATAAATCAAAGATTGATAATGAGGGAGATAACCTCAAAGTGAATTTAATGAATTGGGCATTACGCCATAACATCACACATACTGCTCTTAATGATCTATTACGTATTTTGAAAACCTCATCAATTCCTACTGATATGCCTTTAGATGCTAGAACTTTGTTAGGAACAGCAAGAGAAGTAAACACTAAACCAGTAGAACCAGGAATGTATTACCATTTTGGTCTAAAGTATTGTGTTGAAAATCTTGTGAATAAATTAGATCTTGAATCACATGAATCCAACATACTTGGCGTGATAGAACTAGGCATAAATGTTGATGGTTTACCACTGACAAAAAGCTCCAGTAGCCAAGTATATCCAATACTTTGCAATGTTGTTGGTACTGATTTAGTAGACATGGTTGGAATCTATCATGGCAATGAAAAGCCAAAATATTCAAATGAATTTCTGGAAGAATTCGTAAGGGATGCAATAAATATTATTAACAATGGTATTTTCATAAAGCACAGATTTTTTAATGTTAGAGTGAAATCATTTATTTGTGATGCACCTGCAAAATCTTTTGTTAAATGTATCAAAAATCATACTGGATATTCATCTTGTACCAAATGTCATATAGAAGGTAATTACATAGATAACAGGGTTTGTTTTCCTGGCACAAGAATGAATATTCCATTGAGAACTGATTTGGAATTTAGATCTGCAGTAGATGAAAGTCATCACAATGGTAAATCTATAATTGAAGATATACCAGGAATAAATATGATTAGTAGCTTTCCTTTAGACTATATGCACCTGGTGTGTTTGGGTGTGATGAAAAAACTTTTATTACTTTGGTGTTGTGGTAAACCTTCAACCAAAATTGCATTTCAAAAAGTTTCTACAATTTCTTCTTCATTAATTAAATTATCTCCATATATACCTAAAGAATTCAACAGAAAACCTAGAGATCTAAATGAACTAAAAAGGTGGAAAGCTACAGAGTTTCGCCAGTTTTTATTTTATACTGGACCATTAGTTATCAAAAATAATGTTAACAAAGACAGGTATACCAATTTCCTCGTGTTACATGTTGCTCTGACCATTTTATCTCATCCAAGGTATTCAACTAAAATTGAGTATGCTTCTGAATTATTGATTTATTTTGTTAAAACATTTGAAATCTTGTATGGTTCTGAACAGGTATCATCGAGCTTCGAGCGGGACACGTTGCTACGTGAAGGCGAAGAAAAGTTGTTAATTTGCCCCAAAATTGTCGATCTAAAAGTTACATTTCTTTGTGCAATAGTTGCAATAAGTTCTGGAGGTGCTGAAAAGTGAATAAGAAAAGTAAAATTTCATTTGATAATGAGGAATTACCTAGGAAAACTATTATAATTCACATATATAAATAGTTATCAAAAACCAAGGAACAAAAAAAACGAGGTAAAAAGTAGGCCTGAGTGGTTTACTGATAACGCGGAAACGCAGAACTTTAGCAAGCAAATTACAAGCAGGGTTGCCAGATCATTTTATTATAGGAATAATGACGAAAAAGAAGTTGGTTGATTGTAAAGGGTGCAAAATTAATATAACAAAAACGCAGAGCTGTATGAGATGTAATGGAGACTGTCAGGGATGGTTTCACAAAAAGTGCACAAAACTCAACAACGAAGATTATGATATTTTTTGTGATAAAAAATCAAATAAGAAGTGGATCTGTAACAGCTGCGAAGAATCTTCATCTTCATCTGAAAATGAAGATAGTCATGATGAAAGTAATTTGGAAGAAATGAGTGGAAAATTAATAAATAATAATGGAAATAAGAAGAGAAATTCCAGTGCTAGTAAAATCAGAGGAAGTGGGACTATTGAGAAGAATGCAGATCCTTCTAATAGAGAACTCATGCAATTCATGACTAAAAAATTCTCTGATTTGGAAGAATCTGTGAAATTCAATGCAGAAGTAATGGATGAGCTGCAGGCATCTATAAAAGCCTTAACTAAAGAAAATGCAGTATTAAGGAAAGAGCAAAAAGTTTTCAAAAGCAGGCTGGAGGATCTTGAAGTAAAGCTGAATAACCTCAACTATTTGGCTGAAAAGGAGGAAGTGGAACAGAAAAACAAAAATGTTGTTGTTTTTGGCCTCATGGGTGGAGACACAGCCAAAGATGACATCAAGAAAATATTACAAAAACTGGATGCTAGGATTGATGAGGGTGATTACAATCTACAGACACTACCTAGTAAGGAAACTAGAAAACCAGTCTTAGTAAAGCTGAAGGACAAAACGAGCAGAGATAGATTACTAGAAGTGATGAAAAACAAGAAAATAAATACTCTCCACTGTGGAATTTCTGGAGAGGACAAACGTATCTACATAAATGAAGATCTGCCAAGGAGTGTTAGACTATTATTAAATAAAGCTAAAAGTCTCAAAAGTCATAATTTCAAATATGTATGGTGTAAAAATGGGACTGTTTATGCTAGAAAAGATGAGGGAGAAAGGTTTATAAGAATAAAGAATTCTCTACAAGTCGATTCTATCATAAACTCCTAAATTAATTACTTTTTGTTGATTTATTTTGTATGTATAATATTTACCATAATGGCGAATACAATGAACTCGGATAAGCAAAACTTGAAACACCTGAAAATTGGTCATGTAAATGTTCGTTCCTTTATTCCGGCTAAAAATGATATCGTATCTTTATTAGATAAATATAATTTAGATATTTTAGGCATCACAGAAACCTGGTTGAATGACAAAACGATGAAGGATCAAATTAATATAAAAAACTATGATTTTTTTAGAGTTGACAGACATGATAGAAAAGGAGGTGGTGTGGGTATACTTATCAGATCTACCATAATCAAGGCAAGTGTAGTAGAAGAATGTTCTTTTATAACAAAAGAGTTGGAGCAAATTTGGTTGACTTTGAAATTTTCGAATATAAGATATGCTTGTGGTATAATCTATCGTCCACCTGGTCATAATGTAAGAGAGGCTCTTAGTACCTTAGAGAATGCAATTGCTTGTATGCTTCCCAGATCTGATGAAATAATACTTATGGGTGACTTGAATGTTAATCTGCTTAGACCTAATAGAGCAACTCAGCAGCTTATTGATTTATTAGAATCATTTAACTTAGAGCAACTGGTGAAGCAACCTACGCGATTGACAAATGTTGCTTCCTCATTACTTGATATTATTTGTATTAGTAATAAACACTTGGTGATAAATGATATTCAACATGTAGACCTGCATTCTATAACTGATCATCAACTTATATTTTGTGAACTGGAAACTAGAGTTACTAAGGAAAAAGATAAATTCAAATGTTATAGAGATTATTGTAATTTCAACATAGATAGTTTTAATAATGATCTAACATCTTTTAACTGGCAACAAATATTTTATACAGATAATATTGATAATAAAGTTGATATTCTAACAAACCGAATCAAAAATTTATTTGACAAGCATGCTCCGTACAAAAGAAAAAGGATCACTAAGCCTAAAGCACCCTGGATAACTGATAGATTTCGAGTAATGAAGTCTGACAGGAATAAGTTACTGAGTAAATTCAAAAGAACAAGGGATCCTGAGGATTGGAAAGCATACAAGCAATCTAGAAACCTCTGTACAATGACAATGAGAAATGAAAAACGAATATATTTAGATCAGATAAGCAGAAACGAAAACAGTAGGAACTTATGGAGTGCTTTGAAACGTTTGAATGTATATACCAATAAAAATACTGATGCTATTCCAGAACATCTACTTGACCCTGATCAAATAAATGATTATTTTATTGATTCTGTTACGAATTTGCAATGTCAAGTGGATCCTGCTTTAGTTGATAGTTATAATAATGAGAAATTTCTAGGTGCAATCGAAAGCGAATTGCAAGTCGTCTCGGAGAATGATGTAGTGATTGCAATAACTAAGATCAAGTCGAACTCAGCAGGCTCAGATGGAATAACTCTAGATATGTTGAAACTATGTTTACCAAGCATATTGCCGTATTTAACACATATTTTTAATTGTTGTTTGACAGATAGCTATTTCCCACTGAATTGGAGAGTTGCTTGTATAGTTCCATTGCCAAAAGTGAATAGCCCGAAACATATTTCTGATTTGAGGCCAATAAGTAAGCTATCTGTATTGTCCAAGGTTTTGGAAAAATTGATATATTTGCAAATGGTACAGTTTCTATCAAACAATAAGTTATTTCCAGAAAATCAATCTGGTTTTAGGAGTGCTCACAGTACAGTTACTGCATTGACCAAAATGTTGGATGATATCATACGAGCAATAGATGAGGGGAAAATTACAACACTAGTTCTATTAGACTATAGTAAGGCGTTTGACACTTTAGGCAGAGAACTCCTTTTGGCTAAAATCAACTATTATGGCATTTCTAATAGGGTAGTCAAACTATTACGGAGCTATCTTTCTCATAGAAGCCAATATGTGTTAATTGACAATGTGCAGTCCAGCTCTAGATTAGTTGATAAAGGTGTACCGCAGGGCTTAATACTCGGACCTCTTCTATTTTTAATATATACTATGGACCTCAATAGGAATTCTGTAAATTGTACAATTGATCAGTTTGCTGACGACACCCAAGTTTATAAAAGTTTCCTTGCTGATGAGTTGAATACTGCATGTTTAGATATAAATCAAACTTTGGAGAACATAGTTGCATACTCTAATAAGCATGGGCTGAAGATTAACCCAAAGAAGACCCAAGCTATATGTTTTGGTAATGTATCAGTAGAGGTGAAATCTGATTTGAAAATTGAAATTGCTACTGTTAGAATAGAGCCCTGTGATGTAGTGAAAAGTCTAGGAATTCTTATTGATTGTAAGCTGAGATTCAAGGCACAGGTTAAATCTATTGTTAGTAAGTGTTACTCTTCATTGAAGAATGTATATCGCAGTAGGTCTTTCATCAATGTACCCTTGAGAAAGCAACTATGTGAATCACTAGTATTGAGTCATACTAACTATGCTGATTTAGTATATGGTCCATGCTTGGATGCAGTTTCATCAGCGAGAATTCAAAGGATTCAGAATTCCTGTATCAGATTCATTTACTCACTAAGAACCAGAGACCACATTTCTCATAAACTTAGAGAATTGGGATGGCTCAATATGTTCAATAGGCGTAAATTGCATATTGCCTGCATGGTTCACAAAGTATTGAAAGAAAAAAATCCTATTTACATTCATCATCGATTAACATTCACTTCGGAAATTCATAATCGTTCCACTCGAAATACAGGTCTTCTCGTGATGCCTATGCATAGAACAGCTTTATATGAGAGATGCTTCTCCTATAATGCAGTTAAAATATACAATTCTCTCCCACAAGAGCTCAAGAATAAATCAATGTTTCACTTCAAAAATTCAACAAAATTATTTTTCTTTCGCTAATAGACCGTATTTTAGAATAGATAATAATGTTATACTTATATTTAGTAGATAAGTTAGTTTTATATTCAAGCTACTATGTAGGTTGTTATTTAAATCTAATGTAATATGGTACTCGGTTAAGTAGAACAGCTTTGCTGGACTTCGCCGAGGATATTAAAAATAAAGCCCCTATTATTATTATTATTATTATTATAATATACATAATCTTCTACATTTATCCCAAGATGTGATGAATCATGGTCCACTTGACAAGTTTAGTGCATTTCCTTTTGAAAATTTTCTCCAAAGCATTTTAAAATCAGTTAGAAAAAGTGATAAGCCTTTGCAACAAATAGTTAAAAGACATTCTGAGAAACAATGCATGAATTCTAATTCCTCCAATCATCGTATTTTTCCTATGTATAAGGATGAATATATTTTACTTTCATTAAACCAAGAATGTACAAAACATTTCAAAACTGTCATATTTGAGAATTATACCCTACGCACAGTAGAACCAGACAATTGTTGTTGTATGAAAAATGGAAATATAATTATCATACTAGATATATTTTTACTTGAAGATAAATACAAATTACTTGGTAGAAAATATTCTAACTTGACTTCCATTTATGAGAATCCCTGCAAATCGTCAGAATTGGGAATTTTTGAGGCTCTCACAAGTAATTCAGACAGTGAAATATATGATATCCATGACATTGATTACAAATGTGTAAGATTTCAGTTCAATGAAAAATGTTTCATATTCCCACTTTTACATACAATATAAAATGCATATTTCAACTCACATTTTCTTAATATCTGAATATTTAGTGTTTTTTTTTCAATAATAGTTATTTGTTTCATTAGGCAGAAAAGCACAAGATTTAATGCCATGGCTGGCGATTCATAGCCAAGGCGTAATCAGGGCTAGGGCACCAGCCAAGACATTGAATCTTCTTTTCTGCCATGTGAAACATATAATTTTTTCTCCAAATTCTTTTCAATTTCATGCAAAGTCCAAGTAGGTAATCTATCATTTTGTGATCGTCCAAAGTCATTGTAAATTTTTATTACCAATTTTATTCAAATTATTTCTTGAAACCTTGTACAGCAATAAACTTTTTCTGTCTAGAAAGTACTTTTTCTGTCTAGGCAGTAAAAATTCACTTTTCCTGCCTAGGCAGTAAAAGTTCACTTTTTCTGAATGTTAATTTAACAACTTAAATCTTAACACTCTATACTCCAATTTAATGTTTATGGTCTTTATTTTTATATATTTGTTTTATTTTGTCAGCTGATTCACAGGTAATTTATTGTTTTTCTCTACTAATACAATGAAACTGAGTTTCTAGCCTACACTGTTGCTCAATATGGAAGAAAAAAGCTGGACAGTTGTCTTATTTCTTGATGACAAGACTGTAGAGGCCATTCCATCAAACTGGATACAAGGGCAGTTGTGTTATTGGCCATCACTGGCTACAGAAAAATTATTACAAGCCATAAGAAAATGTGAGCCAGTGAACACTTGTTGGCCATCTCATAATATCAAAATTTTCCGCAATGCTACATTTGGTAAGATTACATCTTTTAGTCAGTATAAGTCAGTTTTTATTATATCAAAAAATATGTATTCACATTCAGATGACTATGCTAGAGCAAGGGCAAAGGCTAAAATTGCTGAAGAGACAAGTGACTTGAATAGTGATTCAGAGCAAGTGAAAAGGAAGAGAGTCCAAAAAATACTCTCTAGCAGTGAGTCAGACTCAAGCTATAGTATCCTGCCAAGTCCACCAAAAATTAAAAAAAAAAATTGTAAAGGTAAACTGCTCATATACATATCTAAATAATATCCAAATGGACAGAATAATATTTTGTTACAGATGATGCAATGATGAAGAAATCAGTTCTCAATAGAAACAATGATGAAGATGAAATACAAATAGGTGAAAAAATATTATATAACTTTTAAAAAAATTATTATGAATAAGTTGCTGATTTATCATAATTTCACTTACTGAGATATTTTATATTATTCACATAATATTGTGTAATTGTTTTTATTCACAGGCTTCTATATGTGAATATTGGAGAATGTGAATCTTCATGAAGAATTCATGGTAGTTTGCTTTATAAACTATGAGGAAAATGTTGTCACGAAAATACAGAGTGCTGAAGTTTTAGGAAAAAAATCAAAATCAATTGATATTTTGAAAACTGATTAATATATCAGTAATGTTAATATTCTTTCTTGTTTTAGATCCATTTATAGGGATCGAGAACAGAATCGAAAAACAAAATGATGCCCTAATTGAAGTATGGCCCAATGTCAATGAGAAGGAAAATTTCAATCCAGTGTGCAAGGCTTGTATCGAAAGAGGTAATGTTTTTAGTTTCCACATGTGGCATATCATACCAAAATGGCCTAGCTCATCAAAATATTTTTTTTAACTTCTGTGCTGTGCCACATCACCTTGGTGAAAGCTCTCATTCATTCTCGCATTCATTGCAGACAAAAGTTTCAAGACCATTTTTGAACAAATTCACATAATACGTGGAATCTCAATTGATATATTATCCGAAGTGAAGGATTTGAAGAAAAATACCAATAGAAGTAATATTCTGGAGAACAAATGCACGTTTTATACAATGCATAGCAACATCAAATTCCCATTAAAAACAGTTGATGAAATTGATGTTTTGGAGGGCATTTTGAATGGGGAAGATGATTTTCAACTATTGGTATGTATAACTTCAATTGTGAAATATTTCATCATGCAACATATCAATTTGATTAATCGAATTATTTCAGGTCCTCGAATTTGCAAAAATTGGTGGCACAAACTGTTATAATTTTGTGAAAAGGGTTCTATCAACTAGTCTAACTAATGAGATGGCACTTCAATATAGTTGGTTGGGAAGAAAGGGAAAGCTGAATTTTTCAAAACTTAATATCGCTAAAGTTATAATAAGTAAGTTTTACTAATTCCAACATCTTGATTGTCAATTCATAATATTTTTAGATGCAGCAGAAAAAGCTGACATATCCCAGAACCGAACAGATACTGAAGTAGCCATTCAAACGTGGCTTAAGCGGGCTAGTGACAGGAGAAACAGTGCCATAAATAAGAAGAATTGAAATAATTATTATAAGATGAATAATTATTATCATGAGTTTGAGATTTATGTTCTCTTTTTCTGATTCATACATTTGATTCACTTTTATGAGTTTGAGATTCTTGTTATATATTTTGTTGAATTACATGTTTGGTTTACTCTTTTGAAATTGAAATAATTATATAAAATCAATAACTATTATGAGTTTGAGATTCATGTCATATACATTTGAATTACATGTTTGGTTCACTTTTTTTAAATTGAGATAATTATTATATAAGATCAATATATATTATGAGTGAGATATATGTGATATTATTCTGAATTATACATGTTTTGTTTACTGAATCTTTAATTTCTCAAAAATTTTATTTTGTGAATGCAACTCCTCAAGTCTAGAAATGTCAAACCTGTTCTTGGTAGTTTTACTTTTTACTGAAATTTTACAGAGATCAATTATATTTATTTGTGTTGATTTGATTCTGGGAAACAATAAAAGGTACTCATTTAATTCATCATTCATTTATTCATCTATTTTACTTCAAAATCTGCAAAGAAACCATGAAATCCATTCACAATGAAGGTCTTTCTAATGTCTTTTGTAGGCCTTCATAAGATCTAAAAGAGATATTAGAAAGATATCTTAAAGACGTCGTGATTTTTAACATCCGGCCTATAAAGGACGTCTTCAAGACGTCTCTAAGACGTCCATAGACGTCTTTAAGACGTTGTGAACGTCTAAGAAAGATGTCTTTGAGATGTCTTAAAGATGTCTTTGTGCTATCTGGGTTTATTCATACTCCCAACTCCCCATGAAGGAAGCAGAATGAATGATTGAAATTGAACATTTGCATTAGTACACTATTATAGAAGGGATACCTACAAGAAAGTTGAATTTAATAGGAAGGCATATGAACTCTTGTGAATAATCATTCGTTGAATAGCTAATAACACTTTAATTTTCAAATGGAGGGGAGGTAAACGGTATAATGATCATGAATATTTTGCAGATTTCATTGAAATTGTTGTTGGATATGGTATATAACAAAAATGAGTATAAAGTATATGTACCTATACCTACGTAAATTTAGATGGAGGAAAGGTGGTATATAAGAGACCATAAATAGTAGATTTTATGAAATTTGGTGTGAATAATATTATATTTCATTCAGAAACGAACATTATATATTGAAAAGTTGAAGCTTTTCAACGAGACATTCACTCAACCAGTACCTACTATACACGTGAATAAAACATTGAAGGAACGTACACGTGTGCCTATTGGAACGGAAGTCCTTTTTGCGTAACTGAAATAAATATTGATTTCAAGAAAGGTGCCCGACTAATAAAATTGATAACGCGCTGAACTAATGATTTCAAACTTGACCTCTCATCTGTTTACAACAAATATACAACTATACCCAATAAATGTTTCCCATTCATCATAGTATCGCCGCAATCATGTTCTTGACAAGAATAATTCTTCCTTTGTGCATAGTTTGTACATTTGCGTCATCGAATTCACAAGTAAGCAATATATATTCTCATAGGCGAATTAGGAATGTGTCATTTTGTTTCAAAAAAAGGTCTGATTTGATGATTTTGTGTAAAGCTACTTTGAAGGGAAATAAGTATATAGGTACTTTTTAACATGGATAAGAAATTCCAAATCTCAAAACTCCCAGTAGGTTGCCTGACCCAATCAGTTCAATGGAGTTAAGGTTCAATGAATATTGCATACAAATATATATATAGGTAATAGTTGTTGTCAAGATCATCTGGATAACCTTGGTGAAACATATATTTGTAGTTCTTCTTCAACGTGTATTCAACAATATGAAATTATTGAACAAACCACTTTTATATTTTTTACGAAAGCGCTGAACGGACATGATGCCATTTTTTTTATAATTGCTACTTTGAACTGGCAATTAGCCATAAGCCATTTTGAACTGCCATTTATATAGCTATAGTTGCCAGTTTGAACTGGCATTTATATAGCTATAATGTCAGTTTGAACTGACAATTACCCATTAGGTATTGCCGGTTTTTCAATTATAGCGGTTCATTCAGCAGACTCTTCTGTATTATGTTCGTTGGAAGCGTGTTAAGATCATAGATTCTTTAAGATATACGAATAGCACGGGTGTTGGAAGTATATAAATATGACCCAACCTACAAATCAAGAGTTATTCAATGAACTTTTTCAAAATACTATTCCTCTATCATAGATATAGAGGCATCTATGCCATAAGTTACATAGATTGGGGGAGTCGTTAATCTATGGAAGTAGGCAGAGAGAGATAAGTAGGTACAGTTTTTCCGTCGTTCCAGAAAAGTAACCTTCTCAATACATTGAATACTTTTGTAACTTTTATTCCAGCAGATGGCAGTGTCGACTAGAATCTTAACAGCAGATTCTAGGATCCTGTAGTGAAAACAAAACATACCTCAATTCAGTGTTGCGTCTTCTTGCCGCCAGATGTCACCAACAGAATAAGCCAAAAACAAAAAATATATATTTTTAGAGAGTTTCAAACGTATAAAATAGTATCTCAGCAAAACTCAAATTTCTGGCCCAGTACATGAGAGATCGGCAGATTGTGGGCCATGGCCAAGCTGCACTGGTCAAACGTCGGCCCATTGCATGCCATATTGTAATCGTTTGCCTATAATTCAGCCGGCACTGGGCCAATAGTGTCAATTCTTATTATGTTTTTGCCTACGTCATACAATCGTCTAACCATCATAAGGCATATTGAAATCGTTTAACTATAATTGAGATGTTTATAACTTAACTATAATTTGGCCGACACCTTGCCAAAAAGAGTATGATTATATTTCAAATGGAAAATTCCAGATGGCGGATCAAATATGGTAGAGTTTTGTAATTATATGATCCGATTCTCTTCAAAATCGTCATCTGGGGGTTTTCGGGGTATGAGATTATGATGCTCTTGTCAAAATTGAAAAATTCAATATGGTGGATACAAAATAACGGATGGGTTTTGTAATCATGATCCGATTCTAATAAAAATTAGTACTTATCTGGATGTTTTTGGGGTCGGAGATTATGATTCTTTCTCAAAATTGGGTACCTACTTACAAATAATATAAAAACACTAAATAGAGCTTTTGTAGTTAATCGAACTAAAAAATATAAAATAAATAGTTGTTTAAAAAACTAAAGAAACACCCTCTCAAAGATAGCCAAACCAAAGAAAGCAGTAGAAAATTGAATAATAATAGCGTTTTGATGAATACACAACAAGAATGTATTGATTACGGAGGTGCTAATATTTCCTATGTTGTGTGTTCATCAACACACTTTTTTAATCTTATTTTCTACTTCTTCTTAGTTTGGCTATCTATAAAAGGGTGTTTCTTAAGTTTCCAAAACTACTAGTTTTTCTATTTGAATGTATCGGCAGACATGTATACTGGCCCTGATGACGGCCAGAGTCTCCTATATTGGTACTGGCCCATCAAAGATCACATGAATTTTGCCGTTCTGGCCAATTCTGGCCAGCATGAGGCCGACCAGAATTGTTTGCTGGGATGAGTCGGTGCCTACCTCTGAGAAGCGGATCCAGGGGGGCATGTAGGGGCCATGTCTCCCCCTCGCGAACCTCATGAATAAGTACAAATGATGCTATACAGCGCAACAATGGCCTAAGCCACAAATTCCAGATAATCTGTTTTTCCCAACAAAAATTCCTCACAAGAGAAACTCCCATGCAACAATGGCTTGAACAAATTTTGTTTCAATGTAACGAGATGACAGCAACATTTACAATTCCATTTCGATACTTTGGTGGATGAAGTAAATGCGACACTGGCCTAACCCGCGTTTTCTGTGGCTCTGTTTTTCATGTTCTGGTTCCCGCTAAAAGGGATATCCTGTAATGTTCAGAGAACATCGTGAGAACCAAGGGAAATAAGCTAGGAATTGGTGATTTTCTTAAATTTCTGGAGGTTATATGCCGCGGGGAACACCTCTCTTGGCAATGTGTTCCAGAACTTCACTGTTCGTTGGATGAACGAGTCTTTGGAAAGAGATGTCCTGCAGGTCTGCAAAGTGACCACGAAGGGGTGCAAAGCCTCAACTCGACGAGTTAATCTCGCGGGGACTGCCAAGGGAGGAACAATTGTTGATATTTCAGAAGAGCATCATCCATGAAAATATCTATAAAATAGAGCCAGATCGCCAACTTTTCAACGGTATTTCAGAGAAGTGAGTGAGTTTGTGAGCGACGCATCACCCACGAGACAAATTGCCCTTTTTTGGACAGAATCCAACAGTTTCATGCCCAGCGAGCACAAACATCCCTGGGATGTTTTGGGATGCTTTGAAAATGTTGGCATGAAGATGTCATTTTGAGACGTAATATGCACTGAACAAATAGGTCTTTGAAGGATATTGAAGTATTGTTTTTGTTCTTCTGTGGCATTTCTTTGTTTGCCTACTGAGAGGTATCCCTGGGATGTTTTGGGATGTTTTAGAAATGTAGGCATGAGGATGGTTTTTTGAGGCGTAATATGCACTTCCCAAAGAGGTCTTAGAAGGATATTGAAAGTATTGTTTTTGTTCTTTTGTGCCCTTTCTTTGTTTGCCCCACCACAACGTCTTATGCTTACGTCACAATACGATGAACTCTGATTTGTATTCGATTTTGTTCTTATTGTTCGCAATTGGCATTCGCGTTTGCAGCGTGTCACGCTTACCTACATCACGCTGCTAACGAACAGAAAGGAATTTGGTGAAGTTTATTGTGCTTAGAAGACTTATTTAGTTTGTAATAATGACCATCAGATGCAAGATGTGTTGTTCGGTGCCTCAGTGTAATCAATATATAAAAGTACGAATTTATCAATACACATCTTCTCCGCAGTTGCAAAATTATGCATTGTGGAGAACATTTCAAAAATTGGGAAACCTTTTTCCAATCATATGTCTGTGTGTAGTAAGCACTACTCAGAAACCGATTCAGAGTTCAAAAGTTCATTTTGACAAAAGGCTTCAGAAAAGTACCTCGAAAATGTTTTCTTTACAGCGATTTAATGTGCGCAAGACGCGTTGAAAAAGTTTTGTTGTGTCCATGAGAAGGCTTTAAAAAGAACTAGGGAGAAGGTAGTTTTGTGACAAATCAAGGACATCTCGATAATTGCCGCCTGCGGCGGACATTGGCTGTTCTATAATAGTTCTATTTATGTGTGCACAGAACATCGCAGTGGAGGTTCAATGTCTCGAAATCGCGTACTTTTAACATCTCTGAGATGTTTTTGTGCTCGCTGGGAGGTATGTTTGGGTGCTGCACTCCAAATATAGGAACAGTATTCCATGACAGGTCGGATCTGTGCCTTATATAGATCATAAGCAGCTGACTGGAAGTGGAATAGCTCCTGGCCCGAAACAGAAAACCAGAAAGTTTCTGGGATGCATTTTTAGGAATTGATCTCACGTGATTTTCCCAAGGAAGGCATCGGAATGGATGTCTTCAAAGGTATGGTTACTCCTGAAAAGCTTATGTTGGACACAGTGAGATCGGCTTTTCTACAGTAAAGGCATGCTTGTGTTTTGTTTGCATGGAAATCTACCAAGTTATTGGATCCCCATTCGAGAATTGTTGCCAAGTCCATATTTATGTTGTCAACATTTCTCCCTCGTTCGTTTCTGATTTGCCAGGCTGTTATTGGAGCCTTGGAAGAGAAGACGGTATGGAGGGTACTATCGTCCTCGAAGCTGTGTACTGGACATGAAGTTGCTTCCAACAAATCGTTGATATAGAGTAGAAATAGTGTTGGTGCTAGAATTGATCCTTGCGGAACACCAGCTTTTATGATAAGAGAGTCAGATGGAACTCCGTCAACCACTACATGATGGAGAGACCTGTTTGAGAGAAAACTAGCTAGCAGAGAACATAGCTGGGGAGGCAAGCCATGAGATGGAAGCTTGGCGAGGAGCCCGTAGTGCCAGACTCGATCGAATGCCTTGGAGATATCAAGTGCCACGGCTACGGTTTCACCATATTTTTCAGTAGATTGCTGTCATATATGTGAGACGTAAGCGAGGAAGGTCACCAGTTGATCACTGATGATAACGGAGGCCATATTGCCTATCGTTGGCTTAGGCCAGTATCACTCTTCGTCTTCTTGGAAAGAAAATTAATTATTTAAATTGTTTGCAAGAAAATGAAAGTGCTGAAAAGTGTGTTTATTAAGTGTTTTCCAGTATTATTTCAAGTAATTTGGTATCAGTTTGGTTTCTACATCTCTTGCGTCTGCAGGTAGGCACTGTTGTCTCAGATTTCCCAATCACGGCATGGGTCGACAGTATCTAGCGAAGGGGAGGAACAAGAAATCCAATGACTAGTTGGAAGGGAAAAAGCGACAACGATGAGAGAGTAATTGAAAGCCGAATAAGGCCAAAATCAATCTAAACTCTGGTAAAGAAGCAAAGGCTTTTCAAGTAGTAAGGGAATGTTGTAAGTTCAACTATCGCGAAACAAATCCACCCCAAGGTCAAC